GCAGCGGTGAACGGAACGACCACCAGTGGAAACTCAGCTGTGAGTGCAAACAACCAAGTAGTGCTGAGATCAAAATCTCAACCGCAGATCCGAGGATCACCCCAACCGCCTCATTTGAGGTTGGCTGCAGCCGCCCAAGCAGTCCAGGCACAATTTGAACAGCAGTCACCACAGTTTACCAGCAATGGTCATCCGACCGGCAGTGACCATCAGGCGCAGTCATCAAGTGTCCCCAACAACAGCAACTGTCTTTCAGCTTCAGGCAATGATTTCTCGCCCCAGCGGAACACCAGTCCAATCTCTTTTGGTCGAGCACGACTGAAGGCGGCGGCAATGGCCGCCGCCGAGCAACACCAACATCATCAAGAGTTGGCTGATGAAGTTCCGACAAACAATCAACAGCAAGCTCAGCCACTGGCTCAGAACGACTGCCAAACGCGCGCCTCAGTGGCGACCAACTCAACCTCAACCTCGACCTCTTCGCCCTCTGTCTCATCGGCGCAGATGAATGAAAAGCTGCTCGCCGCTCAGGTGGCGCAGAGGCTGCAGAATCTGCACCTTAGTCGACTAAAGTAAGTTCCCTTTGAGAGTGAGGTAAAATGATCGTTTACTAACATTACCCTTTTTTGTTGTTGTTTGCTTTCAGCACATCGTACCACAATGAGCACTCTCCACCTCTACCGCCTTCCTACACTGCGTCCAGCAGCTCGGGACGACAGTCGCCGACGCCGACGATGAGCTCATCCTCTGACTACGCGTCAATGCCCTCAGTGCCGCCGCATCTTCGCAATGGACAGCAGGCACTGTCCAATACTGCGGTCCAACGCCCCACCTACAGTCCGTCTAGTGCACCAGGCCGACCCTCTTTTCAACAGCAGTTGCAACAGCAGCAGCAGCAACAACAACTACCGTTAAACAATTTTTCATCTTCTGCTGTTAAAAACACGCCTACGGAAACTGCTGCTGATGCTTCTACCAAACTGACAACCAGCCTCCTTCCGCCTTCTCTGGTGGCCGTCTCCAGCGTCCTCACGACGGCTTTTCCCAGTTCGCCAATTGCTTCTGCTGGGCTGCTTAACCGGGTGGAAAATGGCGACAGTCAGTCGCCGAATCTGCTGCAAGCCTGGTCCTCTCGGCACGCCGTCTCCCAGTCCCCGGTCATCATGCAGTCAGTCAAGTCGCAAAAAGTGCAAAAACCGGTCCTGCAAACGGCAGTCGCCCCGACACTGCCGCCAATCAATGCCAATCTGCAACATCAAGTTCTACCAGCTAATCAACCACCACCTCCCCTTTCCTCCTCCTCAACAAACTCCACACTGAAAGATGCCCTGAACCTGTGTCCTTTGGCACAGGCGGAGTTAGTTGCAGCACTTCAACAGCATCAACAGCAGCAGCAACAACAACAACAGCAACAACAACAACAGTCACACTTTCCAAACACCGATCAGCAGTGTCCTTCCAGTGTCCTGCAAATGGCGGCCGAAATTAATGGGTCAGTTGCGGTGGTAGCTGACGCTGGTTTTCAAACTCATCAAGTTCACCCTTACGCCACTCCGCCGCCGTCCTACTTTTCAGCCGTCCGTGCCAACAATAGTGGAGGCAGCAGCAGTCAGCATCAGCAGCAACAGCAACAACAACAGCAGCAGATGTTGATGAGCAGCAGCTCCCGAAACTCCCTCGCCAGCAACTCCAGTGCAAACACCAACAACAACAGCCACAACAGCAGCAACTACATCAACACAAAGACGCTGATCAGCAAGGCAATACCTGGAGGTGGTGAAATGTCCTCAACACCGCCGCCACCGCCCCCTCCTCCTCCGCCCTACTCAATGTCACTGTCGCTCGCGCAGCAGGACTCAATTGCGGCCATATTCTCACAGAACTTTTGCGCAAACTCAGTGGCAACATCGGCTGCAACTGTAACTGCTGCAGCAGCTGCTGCGCATGCTGTTGTGGTCGCCGCTGCTTCGCCTGGCTCAGCCTACGGTGGCTCTAATTGTGGCTCATCAGTCACCTCATCTTCAACTGCCAACAAATCGGTAAGCGAATGGTGATGATGATAACGGGGAGTTGATATTTAATGCAGAATTTATCTCAACAAAAACCTTTTTTCTCTGCGAACAGGCACTGAACGGCATTCCCACCACCGATCCACCTAGCTACGAGACCTCAGTGGCCGCGCTGAAGGCACAACGAGCCGCCGGGACAACAACCAGGACCACCACTACCGCCACCACCATCGTCACCACGGAAAGCAGCACAAGCCTGACCAGTACGCATTCAGTGAGCACTGCAGCCAGCCACCACCACAACTGCGATCTGGTGACCACTATGGAGTCCATTCTCAGCGGCAACTTACCGGTGAGCGCTGGACAACAACTAGCGGCGGCAATCTCATCAACGGCGGCCATCACTGATGCCGCCACCAGCACCAGCACCACCACCACCGTCGGGGCCACCTCAGTGGCCAGTCGAGTGCGGGCCCTAGAAATGTCCACTCTGGCGGAGAAAAACGTTTCCCTCACTTCCGGTCAGGAGTCAGTGCCGCCGTTGCCACCGAAGCCGTCGGTCAACGGACAGCACAGTGGCCCGACGCCGCCGCCGCTGCCACCGCAGCCGCCGCATCTTCTCCAGCAACTTCACCACCATCAGCAGCAGCAGCAGCAGCATCAGTGTCAGCAGAATGCGCTGAACAACGCTGATACAATCGTAGCAGCAGTCAACGGCAGTGCTGAACATAATGGCCACCAGCCAGTTGAGCAAGTAACAAAGTGCCAAACAATCACCTGTGAAGATGGCAGCCTGCTGGAGATTGAGATGGAGAAAAATGGCAGCGTGAAGAAGCAGACGCACCTCTCGCCCATTCCCACCCGTCGCGGCTTCAGCGGCTCCATTCGAGAGAAGGAACCGCGCGACTTTAAGGTCATTCAAAATGCCTCAAAGGCCTTCAAGTTCTACATGGAGCAGCACATGGAAAATCTGGGCAAGCTGACGAAGCAGCGTCAGCTTCGGCGTGAGCAGCTGGAGTCAGAAATGGCCAAGATAGGCCTAACTGATAAGGTAAACAGCAGTTGTACTTTGTACCGAGGGATAATTTTACTAACCACCTTACCACCATATTACAGGATGCCAATGAGATGCGGCGAATGCTCTGCCAGAAAGAGTCGAACTACATTCGCCTGCGCCGAGCGAAAATGGACCGCTCGATGTTCAAGAAGATCAAAACGATCGGTGTGGGCGCCTTCGGCGAGGTGGCCCTCGTGAAGAAGGTGGACGTGAACACGCTGTACGCGATGAAGAAGCTGCGCAAGGCCGATGTGCTCACGCGAAAGCAGGTGGCCCACGTCAAGGCGGAGCGGGACATTCTGGCGGAGGCGGACAACGAGTGGGTGGTGAAGCTGTACTACTCATTTCAGGATGAGAAGTACCTCTACTTCGTCATGGACTACATTCCCGGCGGCGACCTCATGTCGCTGCTCATCAAGCTCAACCTTTTTGATGAGCCACTGGCGAGGTGAGGAAATGAGATTATTTAAATGATTATAACAGCTGTTAACGTTTGTATGTGGTCTCAACAGATTTTACATTGCCGAGCTGGTGCTGGCCGTGGAGAGCGTTCACCGGATGGGCTTCATCCACCGCGACATCAAGCCGGACAATGTGCTGATCGACAAGGACGGCCACATCAAGCTGACCGACTTTGGCCTCTGTACCGGCT